GGGGGTATCTTTACATTGGAGAGGTCAACCAAGTGATCAAGTTTGGCATCGGAACACTGGAGCAGCCTGACATTATACCCTAAGTAATTCAATGTTAAGTACACAGCATCTTCCTCAAACTGCTTAATCTGAATCTCATCTAGTGCCCCCTTTACAGGAGGTACAACAGATAGAGGAACTAGGTAAACTACACCAGGAAGAAACAATCAAGGCAAATGCAGAAAGCAGGATGATGCTCTACAACCGGTCTGGTTCAAACAGTAAGTGCAAGTGAGGAAAGGTAAGGGAACTGTTCAAGATGACTAAAGAGCTACGGCCAAATGCAATGCATGAATCTGAACTGGATAGACCAGGTTACGCTGAAGTAACAAATAGCCCAAACTCTCAGTGTCTTAGAAAAAAGGTTGATTTCTCCTTAATGTTTCAGAAGTATTATGCTCCCCAATCTATTGCTCTTCGTTGGAGAGTAATTCTGTTTCCTTTAAGAACGAGATGCTTAATGATTAGAGTAAGTGTTTTAGGGAAGTGTTTCTGAATATGATTCCCCAACCATTTTGCATCAGAATCTCCAAAAATATTGTTAAATGCACACACTTTATTGCTATCTATGCAAATGCTTTTAACTCCAAAGTCCCAACCCATACTTGCTGAACCAGAAACTCAAAGACGAGGGCTACTAAGTAGCTTCTGAAAGTTGCTTTGTTATACATTCCACTATTTTATAAAGGTTGCTGTGCAGAAGGATATTTTACTTGCTTAGAAATAACTAGAGTAGCAGTTTATAAAATGGCAGAAATTAATGTTTATTTTCTTACAAGACAGCAAGTACAATAGTATATATACTCTTTTTAAGATAATCAACCATTCTTGATTACAGGCCATCTTTTTCTAGATACAGGTTCCTAAGGTTGTTATGTATTTTTAAAAAACAGGTTCTACGTTTTATTTTCATCAATCAAGACATGCTAATACCAATTGGATTACTACATGGAAAGGCCAACAAAACAGTTATAACTTGGCTAATGAAAATAAATCAATGTCATTGATAAGAGTCTGCAACTGCTCTATATAGTTTTGCAGATGATCGGCATTTCATCCAACTTAGAATGCCAACTGGAAGTTTTTCGGTATTTTAAAGTAGGCCTTCTGAAAAAACAAAAGTCAAAAAAGGCCAGGCTAGTTACACACCTATTAGACTGGCCAAAATCCAGAACACTGACACCACCAAACAGTGGTGAGGATGTGGAACAGCAGGAACTCTTATTTGTTGCTAATGGGAATGTAATCAGTGCAGCCACTTTGGAAGACAGTCTGGCAGTTTCTTACAAAACTGAACATACTATTACCATACAATCCAGTCATCATGCTCCTTGGTATTTACCCAAAGAAGTTGAAAACTTCTGTCCAAACAAAAACTTGTACATAGACTTTTATAGAAGCTTTATTAATAATTGCTAAAACTTGGAAGCAACCAAGATGCCCTTCAGTGGATGAATGAACAAGTAAACTCTGCTACATCCAGACAATGGAAGATTATGCAGTGTTAAGAGAGAAAAAAATGAGCCATCAAGCCATGAAAAAACATGGAGGAACCTTAAATGCATATTACTAAGTGAAAGAAGCCAATCTGAAAGACTGTATACTATAGGATTCCAACTATATGACATTTTGGAAATGTTAAAACTATGGAGACAGTAAAAAGGTCAGTGGTTACCAGGGGCTGAGGGTAGGAGGGGGAATGAACAGGCAAAGCACAGAGGATTTTTAGGGAAGTGAAAATACTCTGTATGGTACTACTAAACATTTAATTAAACATGTCCAAACCCACAGAATATATACTAAAAAAGAACCCTAAAGTAAACTATGGATTACGGGTGATTATGATATATCAATGTAGGCTCAACTATAACAAATGTACCATTCTGGGTGGGGGATGTTGATAGAGGAGAAAGCTATGAATGTGTGGGGGCAGGGACACATGGGAAATCTCTGGAGTTTCCACTCAGTTTTGTTGTGAAACAAAAACTGCTCTACGCTATCCTAATCCTACTGCCCTGCCCTGCTATCCCACCAAATAAGAGAATTTAGGGGTGCGGGGGAAGACTTCCTTTCATCTTTATTTAGTCAAGATGCCCTGAGCTATTTCTAGCCTAGCTAACCTGTTCAAAACACCCCCAAATAAAACGAATATTCTTCTCTGCCAATCATTTTTCTCCTTGTGTTTACACCCAGATCTGCCTTTGAAGAGACGTTTCGCCTTGAATGTACACGCTCATTGGGCACTGTCTTCCACCAACAAGCTGGTAAGGGCAAGACAAAATATTGATTGTAACAAGAAGTGACAGGAGCACAAAAGGAAAATTTAATGATATTATCAACTAAATGTGCTGAACCTTTTAAGCCCACTGTGCCTATTTTAAATAGGTTGGAAATTACTTTTGTATAAAATGATTATTATTTATCAACAACTGTCATTTGGGAAATGAACTGCTCAAACCTGATTCTGTTATGATTAGTGTAAGGTGCAGGTCCATTTGCTGAGGTGAGGAAAAAAAACAACTACAACTTGATCTCATTTGCTTTTTCCCAAAGCAAAACATTCAAAGTAAAATATGAACATTTAATTACCTTTAAATAATATGTGAAATAATTTACATGCTATACATTCCCAAACACACTGAACGTAAATCCAATTTTATAAGACATAACACAATCTGCTTTTTGCCAATATATGCTGTATAGGTCACTTAGAATGTTAAATGATTTTTCGGTCCATGTGACAGCAGATAAACATACATATATGTGCCTCAAGTTGAAGACTATAAGATAATAAACCAAAGAGCTGACTATAAGAAGTCTTCCATGGAAGATTCTAAAATCACAATCAGTACTGGAACCAAGTAATAAGGCACAAAAGCTTTCCCTTTGTGGTCACAAAGATTAAGTTTCCTGTCCCAGTGCTTAAATATCATGAATTATATTTTATATACAGTGGACTTCTGTTACTACTGCTTAAAAAGGACTATTTTTCTTATTACATAATTTGTTACAGAAAAGCATTGGAAAAATAAGTGGGATTAGATAAGTTCTCATACAATAAAGTTTTTGTTCCACTTGAAAAAGACATTTATGTTCAAAACGAATAATAGATACAGGTATAATAAAGAGAAGCATGAGGGGCCCTTTGCAGATTTCTTTGTACCCTTGAATTATACCTTGTGCCACCATGTTACTTAAATTTTCTATTTTGAAGCCAGCTGGCTCCAGCAGTCCTGACCTTAGGCATCCAGGCCCTGTGTGAACATGGGTTGCCCAGCTCAGCAGACTATCAACTACAAGTGCTTTTTTTAAAAAACATGGCAAAATGAAACTCTTCCCAGCAGTTAGGCTGTTTTTGTTAAATATTAACTTTGTATTAGGCTATCCTTCATTTTCCTTTTTTTCTTATATATTAACAGAAAATAGTATTCCATATAGAAATGACTGCTTTAAGATTCATATAACCAAGCAAAATACAACTATCTGTACTTCCCTTTTGTTTTTATCCAAAAATGTTTAGGTAAACTGAAAGTAAAATACTCTAGGAAGAGCAGTAATTCATTGAAAGATAAAACAGTTTAAAAATATATATGTATTATATTCACTGCTCTAAGAAGTTTTAGAACTTTGTATTTTTAAAACTACATAGTTATCAAAGGAATAAAGCCAACCACAAAATAAGACTCACTGATAGAATGCAGTAATCCATGCGCAGCAGCCAAATGTGCTTAATACATATTTTAAAAAATCAATCATCTATGCTGTAAATAAGTCATCAAATGTAGTATTAAGCAATTGTATTGGAATAAAAACCAGAGTTTCATTTTGACTATGGAAGTGGGATGAGCTAAATACGAACTTTTACATAGCAGTACTATAGCATGCGAGGCCTGCAGTAATGAGAGCAATCTTTACAGGTAAAACAAGGCTCACAAAAAGAAACCCAAACAAAAAATTCTGCCCTAGGCTATAAAATCTAACAGTAAAGAATAAACTGAGAATTTAAGGCTTTCTTAGAAATACTTTTTATGGCACTTCAACGTTAAACATCACTATAGGTAAAACATGTAAATACTCATAGTTACACGGCTGCATAATTGAAAGAACATGCCATATCATTTATTAAGGAACTGCCTTGTCAAGTTTTGTTTGCTGGCAATTAAATTATACTTAAGTAAGGCTATTCATGTTTGTCTGTTAATAACATAAATCATACAGAAATGTCAATTCGCTAGTATACAATGCAAATTGTGTTTTGAATAAATTTGTCAATGTCACTTGTTTCTTAAAGAACTCAAAGTCATTCCTTGCTAGGAATGCAGTTACACTGGTGGACGTCTCTCACAAGAGCAGTTATTTTCCTTCCTTCAACTATTAATCTACTATTAAACTCTAAGATCATTATTAGACAAATTCCTTTTTGTCATGCACACATATCATCCTCACGATAATCCATTTCTAGCACTACAGTCAGTCCAGAAAATACTCTGAGTCTAACAAGTCATTCTTGCCACACCATACTCTAAGCTGACCACAGCAGGTTCGGATTTGGAAAACTCCTCAGTGTATTCACTATAACGATTATCCGCAGGGTTGCTGCCCTCTATAGTTCGAAGAGTATCATTCACAGGTAGCAGAGTTTGCTCCTTAAAACATAGGGAGGTTTTGAGGATAGGTGACTCAGGATGAACCGGCTGTAACAATTCCTTGGTGAGCACTCCATCTATTTGCTCATTTTTGCGTTTATTAATTTTCTAGAACAAATACAAATTTGAAAAAAATTATTAATTGCACATAGTACATGTTCAAATACATAGATGAAAGAATAAAAGAAGCTTCTGTAAATGTTCTCTTGAGGTATAATACAAAATTAAATCTCAACAAATTAGTAAAATCTAGTGCAGATGAATAAGACATGGTTGAGAATCCTAAATTTACAACTTTTGCAATGGAAAATGGTTAAGTCTTTACACTTAACTGCAGAAGACCAGTAGGCCTTCATATATGAAAAGAGCATACATTACCCAAAAATTATGAAAAGCAAACATTTTATAATGAAAGAAATGTATATGAGACATTCACCCTAAGATCACAACAAAATAATACAAATACACACTTATTTAGCTAAAGATTTTATTTCCTAAAGAGCCTTCTTACATGGTTTTCCTACAATAGTTTGTTAGGTGAGTACAACAGGCTTTAAAAACATTACAGAATTTTTTTTAAAAAACTGAACAGAAGATTTAAAAATCTTTGGCAGAGTATTGCACTCTCCAAATCCTTGAACTGATCTGCAGACGGATCGTCTTGAATTACCTGTATCTTGCACCTGCCTCTTTTTAACACGTCCTCCTACAGTTTACTCAAGTAGTCATTACTTGGATGACTAACGAACACTCCTGCCTGCAAGGCAGAGTTATAACAATGTCTGTACTTATTAATTCTTTTTGGTTATATATGATGGCAAGGAAAAGATTATAGAAAAGTCTTAGGGTAGAGAGAAATTTCTTAAAGTACACAAAAAAGCATAAAACATAATGATTGATCAATTTAACCACATTAAAATTCAAAGCATCTATACAAAACATACCATAAATAAAATGGAAAGTGCAAGCCATTTGTGACATATATAACTAAAGAAGAATCAATGCCTGATATATAAAGAACTCTTACAAATCAATAAGAAAATGGCAGATATGCCAACAGATAGGCCATTCACAGAAAAGGCCAACAAACATATGAAAAGTCATCTAACTTCAATCGTTATGGAAATCCAAAACTAAAAACAATTTAAATATTCAGCAGCCAAAAGGACAGACTGTGAGCTCCTCATACAAGACATTATACAGTAATTATTACCAAAAGAACTGCATTAAAGCTATACGTATCAACATGGCTAAATTACAGAACAATGTTGAACAAAATGAAGCACAACAGTATGTCAATCTCTAAATATTTTTAAAACATGCAGTTTCTTAGCTGAGTGAGGGGTACATGGGCGTTCATGTTGCTTGTTGCCCGTTATACCGCATACAAAAACTTTATTTTTATATTTTTCAATATAAATAAAAATAGTATTTAAATTCACACAAAACAGTATCATAAGCTGCTGTGGATACAAACATACATAGTAGAAGTATATGAATGTTCACAAAAATAATTAACACCAAATTAAGTGAAAGTAGGTGGGAAGTCTGAGAAAGAATATAAGGGTCTTCAAATATATCATGCTTCATTTCTTAAAACAAAAACATGGAAGATCTAAAATAAGTATAATAAATGTTACAATCTCGCAAAGCTAGCTGGTGCATACCCTGATATTTATTATTTTATATCTCTGCTTTTTTATATACTTCAGATAATTCAATATATTTTAAAATTCAGGGAAAATTATTCAAACTAATCTATTCAAAATAAAGATCTGACTTTGAAGCAACCATGTGTACTTGTAAGGTTTCTACTTATACTAATTTACATTAAGGACACAAGTGAAGAAGTAAACTAATATTCTAAATATATTACACTAGATAACTCAGAATACTTACAGATTCTAAGTCTTTAATGTCTTTCTCTAACTGTTTATTTTGCTCATTCATATTCATAATTATGTTACACACCGACTCCCTGGGATGCAACGTTCGATCAAATTGGTGGTACATGTTTCTCCAAAACCTTTATGACCCAAAAAAGAAAAATTTCAATAAATAAATGTATTTGGAAAAAAACCAGAATACAAATATTCAAAGATGCAAACTTACTTAAAATTGAAAGATACTGTATTTGGCTCCAAAACAGCAAATTTCTGGGATTTGGAACTGTAGAGTGGATTTAAGTACTTCTTTTGGTCATCCAGAAGAAACGGCCACAGGGAGTAAGTCTTCTCCTCTAACCTTATACAATGAGAGAAACATAAGGATCTTTCTCATAGATGCCAACACGCAGTTTTATAAATCAGGCAGCTTTTTCGCAAGTAGATTCAAGTTTTAGTTTTTCCATCTACTCACAGTCTAACATCACCTTGTCTCTGAATTCTGTATTCNCCAACACTCAGTTTTATAAATCAGGCAGCTTTTTCGCAAGTAGATTCAAGTTTTAGTTTTTCCATCTACTCACAGTCTAACATCACCTTGTCTCTGAATTCTGTATTCTTCTGCTCTCCTTTTCTACTTATAATCATGTAATAAAACCATGTTTATTGAACACAACATAGGTATACTGTTTTCTCTCAAACCACTTACTTTAAGAGAGTCCTCTCCTAGTTCACACGATTTCATAATCTTTGTCTATGTTACACCTATTTCAAATCACCACACACATACAGCTGACCCTTGAACGACACAGGTTTGAACTGTGTGGGTTCATTTAGATGTGGATGTTTTTCAATAAATACAGAGTTGGCCCTTTGTATCCCTGGGTTTCACATCCCAGATTCAACCAACCATGATCAAAAACTGTGCTTTTGAATCCATGCATGTGGAGGATCAATTTATATTATATGCAGATTTTCAACTGTACAAGGGCCAGTGCCCCTAACTACCAAGTTATTCAAGGGTCCACTGCACACAGAATAAGACACTAATGTATTTTTGTTTGGCCTGACTCTCCTGGCCCCCGTATCTGGGCTGGAATGGCATGCATTACAGGGCAGAGCCAAATTTAAGTGTGAGTGGGTACAAAAAAATGGAATTAGGAAAAATCAGGACATTACTCAAGAGTTTAAAAATGCCAATTACACTGCAAATCTAAAAGTAAGTAGGTTAAGTGGGTGGGAATAGGGTAGAATTGTTTTAGACAGTATATTTACCAAATAAACATAAAATAGATGTGGATACAGGGGAAAAGGTGGAGAATCTGCTCATTTTTCCACAACCCCTAAGATAGCCAATAGATGTGTTCTTAGAAAAGACTACAAGAAAACATGTGCTTTATTATCATCTTCCTATTTATGAGGATGTTTGGCATTAATTGAAAATAAAAATCAATAAAAATTTTCTTTTAAAGTATTTCTACTATTAACCTGAGGGTATGAGAAATATTCAGAACATACTTGGCTTCAAAATACAAACAGTAAAATCTTTACCAAAAGATTCAGTTCTATTTCATAATGTCAAGATATTTTATTCAGTTCAACTATACTTTATGTTAGACCCTAGATAAGGAGAAAAGAGCCCATCTAATCAAATCATCTTACCTGAGTTCTTCTCTTTCCTTCTGACAATTTCCGAGGAAGTTTCCAAATTGGCATGAATGAATGTGTTCATGGATCTGAAGAAGAAACGCTTCATTGAATTCAAAGTCTTGTGGAAACTGTTCAGTCAAATGCCACACACATTCCAAGAACTGAGTAAACACCGGTGAGACTTCCTTTGGGTCACCATCCAAATGGCCACACCTAACCCCCCAACAGAAAAGTACAAGCTTTTAAAAATGCCTCTGAAAGAAATCAATTGTTCAGGTGTTGTTAAATTTAAACACACATAAAAATAAAATAAAAAAATCCTAAAACACTGTGCCATTGGCTTTAAAAAACTAATGTTTTTATTGAAACAATTTATACGTAAGTTTTTAACCACAATATTAAAAAGTCAATTACCTTCTACCTACTACAATCCAAACAGGAAGGTAAGAAATTGCCATGAAAACTAACAAAGATATGAGAACTGAAACAAATGACTAAAAAAATTAAATCAATTGTCATACAAAAAACCATATCACACATTTACCTCCCACTGGACATGTGAGTTCATTAAAAACATAAATGTTTTGGCACTCTAAACTATTTGTTCTAATTTTGTAAAATATGTGTATATATATGTATATAACTGTGACTCACCTCTCTGAAAATTTATGTCCAAAGGAGATCCAATCCTTTTCTATTAAAACCTTAATGAGAAAAAGCAAAATCCATTTTATAACTTTCAAATGTTTTTGTTTATAATGGATTAAATCCTATTATCTTAAAAACAGCATTTACACATTGCAAACTAAAAAAAAAAATTTTTAAGATTATAGGTAAAAGATAGCAAGAACCTAGATTAGAGGTTGGTTTAACAAAGACTGAAGATACATAAAAAGAAACACAGGAGTCTTATAATTTAAATTATTTCTATTGTATTTATTACATTTTAAGTGAAAAGTATATGTTATAAAGCACTGTTGCATTTACATTTTTGTATGTATAATGATATTTGCCAAGAGAAGGGGCTAGAAAATGTAAATCAAAATGTTAACAGTTGTTAACTGTGGGTGGTAGACTGAAGTTATGTTTTAAACCTTTTCACTTACTTGTACATTACTTATACAATACTTAAAAAATGATAACGAGCCCTGGCCTGTATAGCTCAGTTGGTTGAGCACTGTCCCATGCACCAGGTTGCTGGTCCAATTCCCTGTCAGGACGCATGCCCAGGTTTTGGGTTCGGTCCCCAGTGGGAGGCAACCAATTGATGTTTCTCTCTCTCCCTCTCTCTCTAAAATCAATTTAAAAACAATCTTTTTAAAAAAATGATAAAGAGGCCAATGAAAAGTTTATATTCAAATGTCAATAACTAACCTCTTGAATGGACTGTATCTGTTTTCTATCACAACTTCACTGAAATAATAGGGTTCTAATTTTTTTTCAACCTAACTAACCTAAACAACATATCTTTTTAGTACTTAATATACTTTATAATTTCATATATAATCAACAAGTATATTCTTTTCACAGTCCAAATTGCCAGTTTTAGCTTCTCTGACTTGGTCTTAAATTTATCAGAAGGACATATAATGGGACAAGTGAAGATGCAGTTTCTGGAATCACACTGCATGGACTCAAGTCTTAGCATCACTACTTTCCTACCTGTGTGACCTCCAGGCACAGGACCTCCAGGCTGAAGCCTCAGATTTTACTATGAGCCTTCTGGCATTCTACACACCAACATCTAAAACTTAAAATCTTTCTCACTAAACTTATTCCTCTGCTTATCTCAGTGAAGAGCAGAACAGGACCATCCATCCTGACAACTGAATTCCTAGCCTGGAAATGATCCTAGAAGAGGACTCCTCTTATGTATTCCACATCCAATCTGTGAAAAACTCTTGATTTATCACAACAGTCCCTACACTGGTCTCCTAGCCTCCATTCCCACTCCACTCTTCCTTCAACACATCAAACCTGTTTTTTTTTTAAAGCAAGTTACTGTTTCCTCTGTTAAAACACTCTAATGCCTCTCACTACCCAAATTCTAGGTTCTCTTCCTCAGGCCCCCATTCCACTATATTCTTCTGCACCCAAGGCCCAAGCCCCCAATACTCAACTTTAATCCCATCCATCACACATTACCTGTAGGCATCTAAAGGAGCTATGCTTTAGCTCTCACTGCCCCTTTTGCCTGGAAAGCTCTCACACTGTCCCAGGGTCATGCATTACATGATTTAATTTGGATGTCTAACAAACAATTAAAGCCAAACATGGCAAAGAAAATATTCCTTACCTTATACTCTCAAAAGCAAGCTGAACATTATTTTATTAACAGCACTCCCATTTGTCCTATCCCAGATTCAATGGTAGCACCACAAAATAATAGTGCCAAAAGGGATCTAGTGACGTTAAACCTACCCTCACTTTAAGGGGGCACCATATTTAATAATTCTAAACTAATGAAAGCTTCCTCACATCTCTTTATTTACTTGCCATAAGTTAAGATATAAATTTTGAAAAGATGAGTTAATATGATCATACATTAGAAACAAACAAGCCCAGCCAGTGTGGCTCAGTGGATTGAGTGTTGTCTCATGCACCAAGAGATTGCTGGTTTGATTCCCAGTGCACATGCCCGAGTTACGGGCTCAATCCTTAGTAGGGGGCAAGCCGGAGGCCCCCAATCAATGTGATGTTTCTTTCTCATTGTTTCTATCTCTCTGGTGTTTCTCTCCGTTTCCCTTCCTCTCTCTAAAAATCAATAAAAAACATATTTAAAAAACACACAAACAAAACAGAAGCCAGAGCTTTAGCTTCACAAAGCAGAAAATATGTTCAACTAGAAATTTAATCTTCAGGTTAAAAACATGCTTCCTAACATGTAATTACAATTAACAAATGAAGCAGTTTGAAACAGAACGTTTCTTAGAGAATATAATTTTTAAGTATTCTTATTTATGCTTTGTTTTACTATATTACTTACATTTGTTAGATAAATATGAGGGGAAATACTGAATATTTCTATTGTAACATTTTAGAAAAACAAACTTTTAAATCTAAAACTTTTTGTCAAAGAGGTGGGACAAATGAAAATCAGTCTAACTCAAGGTTTCTCAAAGTCAGCACTACTGACATTTTGGGCCAGATAAATTTGTTGTAGGGCTGTCCTGTACAATATAGGATATTTAGTAGCATGCTGGGGCTCTACCAGCTATGTTGGTTGCACCCTTTCTGTTAGCTGTAACAATCAAAACTGTCTGCTAACATTACCCAATGTCTCCTGGGGGGACAAAATCACTCCTATGGGAGGAACACTGGTCTAGCCAAATACAGTAAAACCTCGATATAACGAACTAATTCGGGCGAGGGGGTGTCCATTAACGCCAAATGTCCATTATATAATAAAAGCAGGTTTTCTGAATGCATATGTTAAAAAAATTGACAGATTAGTTTACCTGATTTTACTTACATAATTTGTGTAATTAAAATTAGGTAGGTAAGAAAAGTTCAATTTCACAGAAAAGTTTTCTATATGTATTATTGTAGTTTTAAATTTATACTGAATAGGTCTAGTAAATAAGTATATTCACCAGTCACTGAATGCACATGGCTGGGACATAGTTTAGCACACATGGGAACATCAGTCGGCCCACAACAGGCAGCAGGTGTTAAAACTGCTACAGAAAGTCACGCTATGAGACAACAGAACCAATTACCTTGAGCAATGCTGTGTAATCATGTGCTAATCATTCCCCAAACATTGTTTACGAGCAGTGACTCTTGGATTTAAACATGTAGACTATACGCAGACTATAGCTGTAGATACGTAATATTTATTTATGTCGGCGAAATTACTAGTGTTTTCTTCCAACGTATGGCCTATTCACTAAAATTTGTTAAAAATAACAGTTAATGCCCTAGCCAGTTTGGTTCAGTGGTTAGAGTGTTGGCCCACAAACTGAAAGGTCACTGGTTCGATTTCAAGGTCAAGGGCATATATCTCGGTTGCAGACTCCATCCCTGGCCCCAGTGGGGGAAGCAACGAATCGATGTGTCTCTCTCACATTCATGGTTTCTCTTTCTCTCTCTCTCCCTTCCACTCTCTCTAAAAAAATCAATGGAAAAAATATTGTCAGGTGAGGATTAACAATAAATAAATAAATAAAAGTGAATTAATAACAAAAAATAACCTGTTAATTTAACTATAAGCAAATCTTGGTTAAAAGCATTTTAAAATCAACAGGGTGTTAATTTTCACATATGACATATGGACTGGAAATCTTGCCCGTTAAATCAAGGTCCGCAAAATTGAGGATTTACTGTAACTCCTTACCATAAATCCTTTGACTGTCCTGTAGTAGGAATCCAATAAAAGAGAGCCAAGGGAACAAACCTGGGAAGTCCTATCCCAGCCATCAGAACAATGTACCAACACACTTGCATTTTCCACCATTATTGCCTGAAAAGAAAGATCCCATACTTAGATTCTAGCAGAATACATTATAAACGAATCAATAAGTACCACTTACTCAAAAACCATTAAGAAGTACTACATTACAAAGAAGAGCTAGCACTGCAATTGATAATGCTGTCACAACACAATTTCTAAAAAAAACCCAAGACAAAACACCAAACAAACAAAAAGAAAGACAAAAATGCTATTTCAAAGTGTCTGAAAAAATTTTTAAGTCCCTCCATGAGGTGCTACATGGTATTTTTAAAGCTCAAATTAAGTGAACCACATTAAAGAGGTAAAGTATAATAAAAATTATCTGACTGGAAAAGATACCAGCACTCAACATAATAAATCCATTCCTTCCCAACCATTACAAACCCTAAAACCATAAGCGAAAAAGAGTTACTTTGGCTAAGAAGATTGCAGCATCCATGACAGCTTTGATATGGCGAAGCCATCCTGAGCTCTCCAAACCAGAGTAGAAATCATTGACAGAAAGCCCTTTGGTACCGTTAACTAGAAAGGGGGAAGAAGCATTTCAATTAGAACGGGCTGCGGTCTCCATTTTTCTTATTCGGGGTTGTCCACAGCCGGGTGAGGGGGAGAGAAGAGGGCAAAGCAAACAGGCCACGCTCTTACGAGGAACAGACGCTGCTAGGAGCTCGCCACAGACTTTGTTACGTTTGCTGTCATTCCCTGTGCTTAAAAACGCATTATCTCATTTCTTAAAAATTTGCAGCAAGTGTTTAATTAAAAAGTCTGATATTTTAATTTTTTAAATTCCATACCATGACTAGAAAAATACCTTAATAAAATTAAATAGAACATTATCATAAATTAATCTTAACTGTACTAATCAAGAATATCTAACAATAGTAATTTTTTGTAAAACCATTAGCACTGTACTGTCTAATACAGTAGCTCCTACCCAAATATGGCTATTGAACACCTGAAATGTAGGTAGTCCAAACTGAGATGTATTATAAATATAAACTGTCTAAGACTTAAAGGCAAAAAATGTAAACTATATCATTACAAGTTTTTTAAATTGATTATGTTTAACATAATGTTTTTAACATATTAGGTTAAGTATATTAAAATTCATTTCAACTGTTTCTTTTTACTTTTTAAAATGTGACTACTAAAAAATTTCAAATTACATAATTTAAAATTTTTAAATGTTTGACTAGCAACGTATTTCTATGAAACAAAGTTGACTAGAAGGTAAGCAAAAATCATACCTTCCAATAACTTCTGAAGGCTGGACCTCATGACATGAATATTTTCAATTCCAACAAATTGAAATCTAATATTAGAATAGTTGTCTTCATTTTCATAACCTTTCCCAGCTGCTCTGTTGGCCATTGCATTCAGCTAAAAATTTAAATTTTAGAAATTTAGAGACAAATTGCTTTTATCTTATAACTTACCAAAATCTCATGAAAACATTAAATAAACTACATTTTAGCTAGCAGACAATTTAAAGGAACTTGTTACAACTAAATATGCTACTATTTTTTTAATAAGCAAAAGTCTCTCCCTGGCCTGTGTGGCTCAGTTGGTTGAGTATCGTCCTGTGCACCAGAAGGTGGAGGGTTCAATTCCTGGTCAGGGCACATGCCCAGGTTGCAGGTTTGATTATCGGGCAGGGTGCATAAGGGGGGCATATGTTTCTCTCTCACATTGACCTTTCTCTTTCTCCCTCTCTCCCCCTCTCCTTTCTTCTCTCTAAAAAAATCAATAAAAACATATAAAAAATAAATAAGTAAAAGTCTCATATATAAAGAAACAATGTGACTGCTATATAACTGAAAGGTCAAACAAGAAGTTCCCCACAAATAATTCGTGAAACTAATTCACTTAGGTTTTTAGGTGTTTAAAATATTTCAAAATCTAAAACCAGAAAGATCTCCTATCTAAATCCTAAATGATTCAGAGATGAGCAGAGCTGGGTAATTTTAATTTTTTAGAATGAACCTATGAGATTCACCTCAGAACAAGGTTAGAGCACTTGATCATTCAGAAAGCCACAGGGATCCTGAAATTCAGATCTGAAATGTGAGATTATTTTAGGTCCTCCATATTAGAGACTGTTGGAGGCCCACACAGTATATAAAATTGCACATAATCTGTTAGCTTGATACAGCTCCAAGAATTGGGACACACAAAAAAAATTGTTCCTCATGGAGAAAACAGACTGCCAGTAGCCCCATGACCTTTGGTGTTTAGGATCAATACTCTCAGAGGTTCACTTAAGATTTGCCATGTTTAATTCTTTCAGACTAGGATTTCATATAGTACATTATTACAATTACTAAATATTCTTATGAACTTGGATGAAACAGAATCTAAATTTTAGAAAGAAATAGTAGCTTGTCATTCAGTGGAATGAGATCCAGGTTGGTAACAAAAACAGTTAAATTATAATTACTGACTCACTGGTTATTCGGCACCTATGATTACTAAGGTTAAGGAATAGATATTTAAAATGTTCCACATTATTACTGCTTGAGTTTAAGTTTAGCTAGTAAAACAAAATAATTAAAGAAAGACATATTTTCTCTGTTGAAGTCAGTTATACAAATAAGACATATTAGGTCCTGAGAAACAAATTGCCCTCAGACCTTATATTCAGAAAGTCTTGTATTACAACCATCTTTTATATCTAATAGCACCTAAAAATAGTTCTAATCCATTAATGCACCCAGATTATACAAGGAAATAAATTTTTTCTTACAAGAAATATCACCAACACTCTTGACTTCTAAAAAAGTCTTTTAACAAAATAAAGATTACCAAAGTATCAGTCTCTAATTTTTAATATCCTTAATTTACTCAAATTAATCTTATTATGTTTTCTCCATTATCTTTTGTAAGACTGCATAATGATGAGAATTACTTCTAAAACAGCTACCATTCCTTTCAAAAAAGCTGTCTATAATTGTCTATGTGGCTCACTCGCTTTTTCTCATCGCTTTCTCTTATTTTTTCATCATTCCAGATTTTTGAAGAAATCCTCACTATAATTCTGCCAATGTCCTTTTGTGTAGCCCACCAGCTCTGCACACGATGCTATAATAAAAATTAAAAGTAATGTTAGCTATTACCATTGTGGATTTTAATTACTTTAGTTTCAGGATCCTATATGAATTGGTTGTTTAACTGTGTTTATAGAAAGAAGAATGGATTGTGACATTTGTCCCAATGATAAAAATTTAACCTTACACAATGGATGGCTAACAGAACAACTATTTCCTGTTCACTATTTATAATTCTCTAGTTCAATGGTTCCTAAGTTAACTCACTATGTATTTTCCTTATTTTCTTGCATATTTCAAATTAAGGTCCATTATTATTTTTTTAAATCCTCACCTGAGGATATTTTTTCCATTGCTTTTCAGAGAGAATGGAAGGGAAAGAAAGAGAGAAACTTAGATGTGAGAGAGACATTGTTCAGTTGTCTTCCGCACTGGGGCTAGGGACTGAGCCTGCAACCAAGGTACGTGCCCTTGACCAGAATCAAACCCGAGACCCTTCAGTCCATGGGCCAATGCCCTAACCACTGAGCCAAACCAGTGAGGGCTAAGGTCCATTATTTTATCACAAAGTTTTTGCCAACTGAAAATTCTAATTGAATTTCTAATTTTTCACAACACCCACACTATTTAGTATTTCTTCACAATAACATAATACTTTTACACCATCAATAGTTCACAGTAAAACTCAGCTTTCCTAAATTTATATATATTAGAAAACATAAAAAATCACCTTCTGGGTTACTGGGAAATTGGTCTCCTAAGCTGCTATCCTTTAAAAGATTGATTTCTTTAATTTAAAACTAGGGTTCAGTACATTAAATGTGGAAAAATTAATCAACTCTCATTAATTAAAGTAACAAAGATAATTAAACTAACAAACTGTACTGTATTCAAGGCACATACTTTGGGCCTGGTATCCACCACATACATATAGCGATTGGCTGGATTGGCTTTACTAATGGCTTGAAGCAAATGTTCATCTTCCAAGCACCTGGCACTGAATCCTGACAGTGGCTGACTACATCGACAAATGGCAGCCTAATTTCAAAAAGAGAGAAAACAAATTAACCAAAGATGTCTAAAACATGTCTTATAAAATGCTTAAAAGAAAAAAAAAGTTAAACTCAAATGTGCTGTTTCAAAGTTGGCAGGACAATTAGAAGGCATTAACTTTGAAATCCTATTTGAACTACATACTATTTCAATATCTTGATGTTACTTAATTTTTCCCAATATTCTCTTCTAAGAAACCTAAATGCTTCCTTACCTACTTGGACAAAAAAAAATCTTGGGTCCTTAGGAGCAACCTGGTCAATTCTCTATCATGTAACCTACTAAGATACTTGCCTTCTGTGCCCTAGATTACAAGATACTTTCAACTCAAGTTCAAGTAAGAGATCAGTCAGTAAGTGCAGAACAGGATTTTTTTAAGTAGCAAGCAACATTAGAACTTTTACTTTCCAAAGGCTTTCAGACCTCTAATTAGAAATCAGCAATCTTTATATAAAATGAGACATAAAATGAGAAAAATGAGTTTCAAATCAAATTTAGGTTAAAACATAGTCAATCTAAGAGGGCAAAAATATCTATAAGAAATAGTGAATATTGGGTTAGATATTTACTGTTGTTTTAAGTCTTTTTTAAAAAAAATAAAAAGATTTAGATCCATATACTAATTTTTATCCAGTCTCATCCATACCAACTGCAACTTAACCTTACCCAAATATTCCAATCACAGTATCATCAAGGGGAAAAAATGTACACATAAACTCACGCATTCACATATTTTAAATACATACAAAAACTCATCAAAATTTAATAAAATAGAAGAAAATGAGGATTACCTTATTAAATGTTTTTCAGACCTACTTCCTGATTTGTTAAGTTGGGCACTGAATATCTATTTTTGCCCAGATTTCCGATTAATAATGTATATACAAACATGGATGTGTCAAATAAAGACCATAACCTGTCATAAGTCCCTATGACTTTGTTATGAAAAGTACATTAGGAACTTTTGTTTAAAGTTTTACTTATTATCTCTGGCTCCCTTCTAAAAGCCAACTTGAATTTCTAATAAAGAAATTTAATATGTGTAAAACCAAAAGGTCAAAGAGAATGGAAAAAGAGACAAAAATAGAGTAGAGATATCAATAAAAATTGGAGAAATGAATGCAGATTGACAATAACTGATTTACCACAGCAAAGAAAGCTGCCAAATCATTATGAGTCAGTAAGAAGCAGGTATTTTGAGCAGCAAAACCCCAAATAGATTCAGGATTTGGTACTTCTGAAAGCCTGAGTGTGGATATAACAGAAAACAAAATAACTGACTGAATATCTGTATATGGTTTAGTTAATAATCCCATATCTTCCCTCACCCTGAAGAAAAAGTTTATTCTATGAAGAGGATTAACCTGGGCTACAGAAACAGCTGTGGTTGGGGGTGAAGCCCTGCACCCACCCCCAAAAAAGGTGCATTAAGTAAAGCCTACATAACAAAATGTGAGGTGTTCCCATCCCTCTTCCCATACTTGGATCCTGGCCAGAACTTAACCACACACATTGGGACAAATATTAAATATTACAACAGAAAGAAGAACCCAAAGATAGCAATCACTCATGTATACAAACAAACTTCTGAACAGGTTTGTAGTACCTCATTCTTACATATGAGAGGTAGGCCATGAATCAGATATTTGAAAGACATGAAAAACAAAAAAACAAAGTAAACAGAAAAAGAAGAAAGTGGGCAAAAAGATAACTAATGTGGGGAGCACAAGAACTCTTTTTTAAACATCCTTAACATCTTCAGAGAACTAAGTCACCACATCCAAGAATAGAAAGCTGTCTAAAAAGTTCAGAAAATGAAACAGTTCTTGGATTTTTAAAACATTATAGAAAAACAAAATCTAAGAGATGGATTGGAAGTGAGGTTTAGGAAATCTTTCCCCCCTACCGTGAACCTTGAAGTGAGACTTACAGACATGTCGAAGCATAGAAAGATGAAAAATTGGAGAGAAAATTAAGAAAAATGGAGGTTTATGCTAGGAAGCCCAACTTGTCAAGTAATACACACAAAAGTACAAAGAAAATTAATAAAAGAGAGGAAGTTACCAAAGAGACAGAGAAGCAACTTCCCAAACTGAGACCTGAGCTTCCGAGAGAGAATTTAAAACAACACGCCAAGGAACATAACTGTGAGGTTTTAGAACACCTTGGAAAAAGAAGAGTTTTAAAAGCTTCCTGGGGGGAAAAAATCAGGTTACACAAAACTGGGAGTCAGAAATGGTATCCAAATGCTCAACTTACCAGCTGTGAGATATAGAAAAAGTAATTTGCCCTCTATGAACCACAGCTCCCTCATTTGAAAGTTACAGGTAATTAGCAGAGCCCACCTTATAAAGTTACTAGGAGGATTTCATGCATATAAAGCATTTAACATATAGTACCTCCTGGCCTGCTGTTACAGGCTACAAAGGTGTTTTACTGTAATGTGCAATCCCTATTACAGCATCTCAATATAAAAACGCCTCCTCCACTTCTTCATATTGCAAAATCCTTCCAATCTGAAGAGCCTACTATTAAAATGGGAGCCTGAAATACCCTTGGCTCTCTCCCTTTTCTCAACAGTTGGCTTATCAAAATTATCTGGTTTCACCCAATACAAGCAGGATCAAAAGATAACCACAGGCAAGGAAGGGAATCTACTTAATTCCATTATTTTCAAGTCACTGCTAGAAGGAAGGAAAGAATGAAGGAGGGGGCGAGGGGAAAGAAAGATGACAAGTATGACATTTTCTGCATTTCAGGGTAATTTTGTTTTAGAATATCGAAAATGTCATTAAGTAAAAAGCCAGCACGTCTCTATCAGCAACATTATAATGATGATATCTTAATATAAAAGTGAGCATTCTTTTGGATATTTAGACCTGAAAAGGGGTTATACTACATTGGTAAAGTCAAAAGGAAAGATGCCTACCTCCTTACTTTGATGATAGTAGGAAAGAACTGGAAATCTACCCTTGCTCCGGAACTTAGAACTACCAACAATTATTGGTTTGCTTGCTATTCGGGGAACATAAAGTTCTCTTGGATAAGTTTCACAAATCTGTAAAAATCAAATAAAACATAACTATGAGGTTAAAAATCATCTTAATAAAACTTTAAAACTTACTGATGTAAGAACAACACATAGCAATACAGAGACAACTTGCTACTATGACACTTCCTGACTTTCTGGTACTAACATTTTCTGAATTTCCCCAGAAGGTCACTAAGTTACCTTGTATTCTCGGTTGGCATCAGACAACTGCCAGTTTGAATTTGGCACGCCCATCCTTTTATATTCCTCAGCAAGGTCAATAAGCTGCCAACCTCGAAGTCGTTCTGAATCATTTTGTTTGGGATTATAAGAGAATGCATAGAGATCTTCGTATTTTGCTATAGTATACAAAATGCATAAATGTTAAAATGTAACTTATAGGACTTAATACGTGACAAATAGAAGTAATTTTCAGTTTTACCCCTCCAGTTTTTCTTTAAACTCTTCAAGGAAATGCTAATACCTGAACATATTCAAACTTAAAATTTTCTCAGTTCTTTGATGCAAATGATTATACCTAAAGACATAAATATTATCAATCTGAGATTCAATTTATATAATTAGTAAAAGCTAGTAAATAATACAGTTAGACTTATACATTACTCTGCTGCAATGTTTCATTTTCTTAAAAAGTAAAATTTTAAAGACACAAATAGACAATTCTTACCCACCACTTTTCCCAAATGAGATATAATATAGAGACTAATGCTATAGTGAAAAAACAGAGGTGTCACAATGGAACATGAAATTGCCTGTACATTCCATTCCTATAGTATGGTTTTGACCAAAAATGGCAATGGTTGCACAGAGATCCAGGGAACACTTACTTCTGAACAATGATTAAGTCCCTGAAGTCACAGAACCATCTTTACCATAAGATGTGACGTAACTTGGGACAATGGGATGTTATAGGCTTTATGTGCTAGGAGAGAAGAGTGAACAAAAATCTACTCCTACACCATTGCAAATAAGGTGTCAAACAAAGTAACATCCAGTAGCTAATGTGCTTTGTCTCCCTGGAGAGATCTATGTAATCCAATTTATGTTGGGGGAAGGAAGCCTCCAGATCTCTAAGACACAATAGTGATAAGATTCCTTTTCAGGGCCTATATCTCTCTCACTTCTATCTCTATTAAAGTAGGATTCATCCTCTTATCCCTCCGTTTATCTCCTTATAGTCCACTCTAGTCAATTAGATGTATTAGTCCCATGGCTATCAGAAGAGCCTGACCTTCCTTAACTTTTCCTTTAGTGATCAATTTCCAAGTCACTCCACCTTGGCTGTCGGCTTCTTTAAAACAAACAAACAAATTAAACAAAAAAAAAACAAAAATGCTGTGCTACTGGCTATCAACAAACTTCTAAAACATTAATATAAATCTATAGTTTTTTAAGTCTGTACTATAAATGCTTCATTTTGTCCTTACTGTTACCCCTTCTTTGGAAACCAGTACTACAACTCAGATCAGAAGTTTCTAATTACTTCTAGGTCAAATTTTTTAGAATAGACCACAAAAATTTGACTTCAGAGCAACTTAAACTATAAAATGACAATAATGAGATATTAAAGTATTTTAGATAATCCATCTCAAAATTGAACAAGTAAGTTTTGGTCTCTAAGAACAGTACCTTGTTTTGACAGCTGTAGCAAAGAGTTGTAAATATCATGGCAATCTCTTTCTCTGGGAACAATGAAATGCACAATCCTAAAATTCTTGCACTGAATCACAAGTGGGCATCCAGAAGTCGTCAAAGCCAGTTTCTCCACTGAGCCAATATGGTGGTGCAGTATCTACAGCATGAAAAAACATTTGATCATCATTATAGAAAGCACTAAGTATCTTATTCTCTTCCCCAGAGCATAAATGTTAGAAATGCCTCTTCAAATAAAGTCACAAATGTTATACGCTACAAACCCAAACTTAAGTTTTTTTTTTAAATATATCTTTATTGATTTCAGAGAGGAAGGAAGAGGGGGAGAGAGAAATAGAAACATCAATGATGAGAGACTCGTCATTGATCGGCTGCCTCGTCCCCCACTGGGGAGCGAGCCCANGAGAAATAGAAACATCAATGATGAGAGACTCGTCATTGATCGGCTGCCTCATCCCCCACTGGGGAGCGAGCCCACAACCTGGGCATGTGCCCTGACTGGGAATCAAATCTCGATCTCCTGGATCCTAGGTCAATGCTCAACCACACCCAGCCAGGCCCAAACTTAAAAATTTTCAATGACAATGCCCAAGCCAGAAATGTGCCGAGCACTCCACATATTCATACATCATTAAATCCCAAGAACTGCATCACCTAAATATCTCTGTATCCTGTCTACTTCTCTCCATCTCCATTGTCACTCCCCTAACTGCAATGTTCCCATTGTTTCTCACCTGAATTACTGTAACTATGATCCTAAATTCTCTCTTCATATACTACTCTTGACCCCCCTAATCCATTTTCTACAAGGCAGTCAAGTAACTATTAAAAACCCAATCAAAATAGCTAAGATCTGGAAACATCGAAAGTGCCCACCAGTAGATGAGTAGATAAAAAAGCTGTGGAACATTTCCACCATGGAATACTATGCAGCTGTAAAAAGGAAGGCTCTCTTACCCCTTGGGACAGCATGNATTTCCACCATGGAATACTATGCAGCTGTAAAAAGGAAGGCTCTCTTACCCCTTGCGACAGCATGAATGGGCCTGGAGAGTATTATGCTAAGTGAAATAAGCCAGTCAGAGAAAGTCAAGTATCACATGATCTCACTCATATGTGGAATCTAATGAACAAAATAAAGTGACGAGCAAAATAGATCCAGAGACACAGAAGCATGGAACAAACTGACGAATCTCAGAGGGAAGGTGGGGGTGGGGGAGTGGGTGGGGAGAGATTAATCAAAGAACTCACATGCATATATGTATGCATAACCCATGGTCACAGCCAATAGTGTGGAGAAGGCCTGGTGGGGGGGAGGGTGGATGCCTGGTGGAAGGGATCAATGGGGGGAATAAAGAGGGACCTCTGTAATACTTTCAACAATAAAGATACGTTTTTAAAATTTTAAATTTAAATTTAAAAAAAGGCAAAGCCATCTAGTTGTTATTGCCCACTTCTGTCATCCAAGTACTAACCAGGCCCGATCCTGCTTAGACTATAGACTTTCCCACTTTTCTGGCCTCATTTCAAGTCCCTCCCCCAACATCACTAAGTTCTAATGACAATAGTCTTCTTTTGGCTCTTCAAATGAACAAAGCTCCTTTGAGATATTGTAGCTCTATCTCTTTACCTAGGAACTTCTAGTATTATTCCTGGTGTTCACTTAAAACTCATCACCTGGAAGTATGTATAGCCTCACAATCCCCATGGCCCTTTCCAAATAAGTTAGGCTCCCTCCATTTTCTTATCAAATATCAACCTAAATTCTTCCTTTCATAGCACTTAGCACATGTGTAATTCATTGTGTAGTAAATGTTATTTCTCTAGCTAGATTTTAGGAACTTCACCTAAGAAGCGAAACTACAGCTAGGTTGAACACCATTATATCTCCAGCATCTAACAGTACTTGGGACATTATAATGATCCTCTTCAAATAAAAAAACATTTTGAGTGATATATATTACGCATACAAATTTAAATTTGACCAAGTCGGAAATATAGGTGTCATTGTTGATAACTTCTCCATCACAAATGCTTACTGAATGAATGAACAGAAAGTCCTACTATAAACTCAGTACTTGATGGCATTTAAAACATATAATTATTATATTCACCTGTTACCTATCATATTCTGTTTACTACTAAAACAGATTTTCCTTTTCTCAATAGCATTCCTACTAATTTAAAATATTTATAGAAAACTTTTTTGGAAAATAAAAGATCTTAAAATTGTAGCAGGTTTCTGGATGATAAAACTCAATCATGGCAAGAAATCAAATCATCCCAAATTCGTCTAAAAATTTAACATAAATTCCAATAAAAAATCCCAACCTGATGTTTGTGTTTGTGTGGCAGGATGAGATATGGATGATTATTTATATTATACATATGTATTATATAATTATAATTTTATAGGCTAATATTAATTTTTAAAGGACAATAAGCCATTTTATCACTATTATAATTCCAATTAAGACCCAAAATTATCTGCAGGAAAAGAATGATGGATGATGGGAACTGGCTCTGTCACTAACTAGTCATGTGATCTGTCACTAACTAGATATTGAAAGACTAATCCTCTGTAAAATGAAAACAAAATACAAATAAAAAGTAAGGATCCTCCTAGATCTAAAAATGTTCATTTCTATGGATCTAGTATATGAAACAGATTTCATTCAGGAGAGCTTACAGAAATATATTGATAAGAAAGCATTTTAAAGACAACAATAGGAGAGAAGAGAACACAGATACCTTTTAACTGCCCCCAAAACTACATTCCCAACATCTGAAAGAACAGCTACATGAGAAACTTTCATTTGTACTGTAGGAGATGAATTACATACAGAGAAGATATTAAGGTGGGTGGACAAAGGAAGGGTAGACAGAGTGGATGAGAATCTGACTAATGATTTTACAAGGTATTGCTAGGGAAAACTCCTGGGCAAACACTGGTTAGGGAAAAGATCCAGAGCCTCTAGGGAATACAACTTCTCCATGATCAACATCTCAGGTAAGTATCTTAAACACCTTGATAACCAGTCATGAGTATACACATGTTTCTGTATCCAAACACTGCTGACCTGTCACAAGAGAACTCCTGTCTGCACTTACATTAAGTTAAGTAATTTTAAACACCTTGCTGACCAAAGAGGCCGGCTGCACGGGTGAGTTCTGGCTTGAAACAGCGGGTCAGCAAGGTGATTATTAACTTACTTATTGCAATCACTTATCAACTGGATAACCTTCCTGGGGAAATCAAAAGAATACAATCAAAGAGAAATATCAAAACTTATTAAAAGCTCTATAGTCAATAAAGCAGTGTGTTCTTGGTATAGTGTAATCAATATACCAAAAGAAGAGAATAGAGAGCTCAAAAGCAGATCTTCACTTTACTTATAACAGAGTTGATACCACACATTAATGGCATAAAACAATCAATAAATGGTGCCAGTTATGCATAAATAAAATAAAAATGAATCCCTGTCATACCATCCATCAAAAATATTTCCCAGATATATTAACAAATTATAATTAGAAGAAAACATAGGAGATTCTCTATGACTTTAACATAGGGAAGGATTCCTTAAGTCACAAGACAGCATGAACCATAAAAAAAATATGAAAATCTATTACACTAAAATTTTAAAGTTTAAAAGACATGCACACACAAGACAAGCCATACGCTGGGAGAAGTTATCTACAGTCGACATAGTGACAAAACTGGTACTCTTGCAAAATAAATAACAGGACAAAAAATCCAACAGAAAAAGAAAAGGAAATCTAAAGCCAAAATATCTGAAAGGGTAACTTCCTTGTAATCAGCAAGTTAAAATCACAATTGCACATCTACCAGATAGCAAAAATTTTAAAGTTGACAATATCAGTGTTACTGAGGATAGTGAACAATGTGTCACTCTACTGAGAATATGTTGAAACAACTATTTTGGAGAGGTGATATACTTAGTAAGGTTGAATATGTACTTATCTAAGTAATTTTACTCTTAGGCAAATATTCCAGAGAAACTCTGGCACAGTCTATATATGAAGAAACATATACAGCCTGGCTGGCGTGGCTCAGCGGCTGAGCATAGACCTATGATCCAGGAGACAGTGTTTCGATTCCAGCCAGGGCACATGCCTGGGTTGTGGGCTGGATCCCCAATGGGGGGCGTACAGGAGCCAGCCAATCAATGGTTCTCATCATTGATGTTTCTATCTCTCTCTCCCTCTCCCTTCTTCTCTTGGCAATCAATAAAGATATATTTTTTTTTAAAAAAAGAAGAAACATATACAAAATATCCATTACCTCATTGTTTGTACTGCAAAAATAAATAAATAAGTAAACACCCTAATTGCAATGTTATAAAAATACTGTGGAATATGGCATTTATCTATTAACATGTACCTATATTATTTAGTTTTTTAAATTAAAAAAACAAGTAGGTCTTTTATAATTATTTAGGTAGATAAAAAGTCTTTCTGGTATTCTACAAAAAAATTCCACATTCCATATTATATCAGTTTTATTAAGAGGGAGGGTAGAAGTGATTAGGTGACTGAAAAATTTTTGACTGAAATAGGTAACCAATGATTAAAATATTTTGTACACATTCAAAATAAAACACAGCAATTGACTAAGACCATTATTATAATTATGGTAAACAGTACATTAGAGGTCCTCCTTACCCAGGTTTCTTTCTGATGAGAGTCTATAAATAATAGATGTGTGGCCGTAAGATACAGTGTTCCTGTTAATGACTTGTTGTTGGTACTGAATCGGTCAAGTAATTTCACTTGCTCAACCTAAAAAAGAAAAAGGTATTACTTCTCATTTCAAAAGTAGTATAAATTCTTTTTCTGTTATCCCAGGATTTAAATTTACCATTTTCAAATTTTTTCTTCCTTCTGTTCTAAAACATATGTTTATTTAATGTTGAATGTTAAATTTCATATATCTTGGGAAATACATAAGCCACAAACAGGTACTATTTGCAGTTATAAATATAACCAAGAGAGAAGAATCCTGTAAAAAATTATTAACACAGATATTAAAGGAAACAGGAAGGAGAGGTGTGGTATAAATAAGCAAAAATGTTTTCTGTATCCAAGAGTCAATATATTTTATTTAAAGTTGGCAGGTAAAGTAATAAATATGTAAGGTTATTATGTAGAATTATGGAAGTAAATTACCAGAAAAATTAAATCAGGGAAGTAATATGGTTGCAAACTCCAATTTATTCTCCTCACCACTCCACCCAGGACAATGTTTTGTGCTTTGCGCTTTTACTCATACTGTTCTCCCTTCCTACAATAGTCTCTTCTAGCTTAAATACTAAGCATTCTTCAAGGCTCACTGATGCTGTCTCCTAACAGGAATCCTTCTCAGAATAGTAATTATTTAATGTCATAGCTTTGTATTTCTTCATGGCTTTGAATTCTCTGGCATAGATTACGTCATATTCTGCTTCTGCGCCCTTTAGTAGTTGAGGCAGTGTGGTACATAGTACATCTTTATCAATAGTGGACACACATGCACGAGGTTGCCAGTGAAGAGTGAGATTAGAATTGGCCAGAGATGTGCAGGAGACTACTATTTTGAAAAAATAGTATTTATTTCTATCCATTCTTATGGGGCTAAAAAAGCAAAATAACCATTTTTGTATTACTATTAATTATTGTATCATTTTCCATACAAACAACTGTAAACCTACTTTTGCCCCACCCTATATTTTCTATTCCCTTGCTAAAATTGAAGGAAAAAATGCCCCCCATTTTGAAATTATGATTTAGAAAATAATCAATAACTACCATTTAGAAGGCTATTAGTGCCCCCCGTGCCCCCCCAAGAAATTTAATTTCAGAGACAGTTTTTTTTTTTATTTATAACAGAACCTGCTCAAATAAAAATTTAAGTGTAAAATTAAAATTTTTGGTTTTGGAGAAAAAATAATCCATCCTGACCTTAATAACTTGAGGATTATTCATTACCTTAGCAATGCAAAATTATATTCAAATCAAGAAATATATAGAAAATCATTATATGACTACTTCAATATGGCAATCTCTATATGGTTGTGACAGGTAATAAAATTAACCTGAAATTATCCCAAGACATACAGTTAATACTTAAACTAAAGTTCTAGAGAAAAAAGAGAATTTCTGAGAAAATATATTGATTATTTGGTTCTTTGCTGCAAATCACAAGATTTTTTTTTTTTTAAATACAAGAAACTGAATCTTTTTCTTTGCTAAGATCATCAGCATGCCAGTTTCAAGCTAAAGACTTAGCCAATTTCTAAACATCACTGCTGCCTCATATTTCCCCTTTTCACTGAGGAACTAAAAGTACTTTACAGATGTTGCTACAGATTTTTCCCAGTGTTTTCCTGGAAATGTCTTTAAGTCAGATATTTAGGAAGCATTTACAACTCTTTCAGGTCACTAGCACTGAGGCACTGCAGAAACAGTGTTAGGATCCTTTAATTATAGGTATCACCAAAGCAAAAAGGAACTAGGATAGGGAAAGGGTTATGGGAAAGAAAAGAAAAAAACAAAGAATAAACAAAGAAGAACAAAATGGAGCAGGAAGGAAAGAATTGGAGGGTGTGGTCATTATGGTGAGGATGGGAAACACGAACACATTGGTTTAAGGGCCACTGAGTTGAATTGTTGCCAAGTAAGCGGCCTGTACTAAAAGGTACCCTAATGGTTTATGTAGGAAGTTCAAATTGCAGCTGATTACAAAGCAGAGAATGAAAAACAAAGGAAATCACACACACAGAATCACATTAGGGAAATTCAGGCACCTATCTACCCACAAGAGGGAAAAGTGGCCTCTGGGACAAGAAGAAACCAACGGCCTTCCTCAAAATTCTGTGACGAACAGTTGCACTTACTCAACAACTACATGACAATGGCTAAAGAAGCAGAAAGTACCCTGTTAAGGTTCCTCTAGACAGGCACCCATTTGAGACTCTTAGAATCATTATTATACACTCATAGCATTGACATCTTGCCAATAATTAGCTATCAAAAAGAAAAAGCATCAAGTTGCCTTCCTGAAGTAAAAGGTAAGCATCAAAAAGCAGAGATTTTTATCTTTTTTTGTTCATGTATCACCAGTTCCTAAAAGAGCATCCGGCTGAATAAATCACCAAATGAAACAGATCATAAATCCAGGGGCACTTTACTGACCTGTCTTGCTTTGCTTTCCTGCCCTGCTGGACTCAACTGACATTCCATGAATGGCTTCCTGTCTCATACAGTAATAGCTAAGATTTCACAAGGCTCTATAATAACTTGTCCCTGGCCCCGATTTTAATTTTCTACTATGCCCTCTCCTTCAATCACTCTGCTGTAGCCACATTGGTCTTCTTGCTGGTTCTCACCAACCAGGCATGCCCAGCATAGGGTTTTTGCTTTTGCTGTTCCCTCTGTTGGGACTCTTCCCACTACCTCTTCCACCCATGTAAAGATGGATTACTCTCTCACCTCTTTCAGGTCTGTACTCAAGTGTCACTGTCTCTGTAAGGATGTCCCTAATTACGTTATTTACACCAACTGTCCTCTCCCCCACTCCCCCCCACCCTGGCACTCTCCACAGCATTTACCACCACCTACCATAGTATATGTATATAATTACTTATTAAATTTGTTTATTGTTATATCTTCCCCAACTACAAAATAAGTTTTATAAGGGCAGGAATTTTCATCTGATTTATTCACTGCCTTTTCCCCAGTACCTAGGACAGTGTCTGCCCCATGGAAAACGGAGGAGCAGAGGAGGGAGCAGAAGAGGAGGGGGCAAATAAGGGGAAAGCAGGGGAAGAGGAAGCAAAGAAGGAAATTAGATAGGAAAGACTGTTCCCTGTTCCCTACCCTCCTATGATTCACCACTTCCCATTGTATCCTGAATATTCTTTCTCTGGCTCTTCTTCCTGTGCTTGCCCACTTTTAAGTATCTCCAGGGCTCTAACCTTCACATTCATCCACAATAAGAAATGTCATCGATTACCTAAACACTGACAACTCCCAAATCTATTTATCTAGGCCAGACCTTTTCCCTAACTCTAGACACTCATAATCAGCTACCTACTAGAAAAAAATCCTACCACCTAAGTTCCTCTCATCCATCCCTCCTTTTCCCATTCCTACTTACACTGACCTACGTAACTATTCAAATCTCTTGATTAGATAATTACTCTGTGAGGCAGGAGAGTGTAATGCTTAAGAGAACATGACTCATAAAGACCAGGATTCAAGTTCCCAGCTCCATCTCTTCCTTAGTAGGGTTGAGTGAGGACAAGTTATTTCATTTAATCTCTGCAAGTTTGTTTTCTCACCTGCACATTGGGATAATATCAGTAAGAGTTAAAATGGCACTTTACTATTTCATGGGAAAACCATTCAGGTTTTCCTCAAAATCTACTGGCTCATATTTCAAAGACAATTAAAACAATATAATTTTCTCCTTCTTTATTCATTCTTAGTTTTACATCTCCTTCACTCTTTGTACCACGTAATACATATTTGTGTACGTACATGTATGATCCCATACTGTAATGACAAAAAGGGACAGCAAGCTAAGACGAATTGGGTATTACTTTTGGAATAACTCAATTTGAGCCCTAATGGGGTAAGATTGTCTTGGGACATTCCACTCGTTATCAAACTCTAGAAGCAGTCTTTCATATAGAGGTTAGGAAAATATTCTTCCACTTTATTCTGCAAAGTTCCATTCACAAAGAGCACAAATTTCAACATCAACACGTTAGCCAAAGGACTAGAGCATGGCAGAGAAAGAAGACTGCATAAAGAACTGTCTCTGCATACTTCCCATTGTTTCTTGGCAAGACTATCTCATTATGGCAAAATTAGCACTCAAAGTGATAGGCAGTAGCTACACTGTTCATAAGTATAGCTTGGAAATGCTCTTTCAAAATTTTAAATTCAGACTTGACATCTTCACTGATGCCATACAGTTAATAAACCAAATGTAACCAAATCAGAATGATTTGTATTCCTGAATTTTAAAACTATAACGTTATTTAATTAATATTCAGTTAAAATACTTTATCTGATAAATCTCTGGTTAAGCAATAACAAAACAAAACAAAAATGACCATAAGCAATACAACAAACAATACCACAAAAATATTATTTACTTATGTCAAGAAAAGATTTGATGAAGATAAAACTCTTAGAATTATTCTAAGGATTTATTTCTGAATTAATATTAATACATTTTTACAATTAGATTAAAACTACAGAGGCAGCCTGGCCAGTGTGGCTTGAGCATCAACCTATGAGCCAGGAGATAGTGCTGTGATTCCCGGTCAGGGCGCATGCCTGGGTTGCGGGCTCGATCCCCAGTAGGCAGCATGTGGGAAGCAGCTGATCAATGAGCTCTCATCATTGATATTTCTATTTCTCTCTCTCCCTCTCCCTTCCTCTCTCTGAAATCAATAAAGACATTGAAAAAACAAAAAACAAAAAACTACAGAGGCAATGGAAAAGGCACTACATAGTCTTTGGAGTTAAGACACACCTTGGGCCCAGCCGGGTGTGGCTCAGCGGCTGAGCATTGACCTAGGATCCAGGCGATCGGGGTTCGATTCCCGGTCAGGGCACATGCCCAGGTTGAGGGCTGGGCAGCCGATCAATGACTCTCTCATCATTGATGTTTCTGTCTCTCTCTCTCCCCCTCCTTTCCTCTCTCTGAAATCAATAAAGATATATTAAAAAAAAAAAAAAAGACACATCTTGGTTTAAATCTTCACTCTTCACCTCATGAACTAATTGGGCAGATTATTTACACTCTCTAAGCTATTTCATCATTTGTAAATGGAAATAATGTACCCAACTGGTGGTGTTATTATAAGAGATTAGCAATAATTTTGTATGAACTACCATATTTATAAAATTGTAAATATTGAGAAATGATAATGTATAATTGGCTATTTTGACATGTAATTACTACTTTTTGAATACAGTTGACTCTTGAACAACATGTGTTTGAACTCCACTTACACATGGCTTTTTTTTCAATAACCATCTGTACTGTTTTCAATCTGTGGTTGGGAGTCCACAGATGCAGAGGGTGAACTATATGCATCGATCTATGCCATTTTATATCCACAGATTTTTATATCTATGGGGGGAGGGGTTCCTGGAATCAATCCCCTTTGAATACCGAGGATAGCTAAGTTTTAGAGGAGTCAAAAGTTATAAAAAGATTTTCAACTGCACAGGGGTCAGTGCCCCAACCCGTGTTGTTCAAGGGTCAACTGTACAGCTGTCTGAACAGCACAGAAAGAATCACTAGTTACACAGTACTACTCCACAGTCAATTATTGATCATAGCAACTAAACTACATTGAGGTCAAAACAGCTAAATAAACTTAAAGCAATTCATTTTTAGTTTGAAATTCTTACAATTATTTCTGCAGCAAATTAACTATGTCCAGGTGAAGGCTATGCATAATAGAAACAAAAAGTTGGCTATGTTCAAATCAATCTTTATAACTTATAAATTATAAAGTTATTCTTCTAAGTTATAATTTAAGAAATTATCATACTCCACCCAACAATGATCAGGATATATTATGAGGCCCACGTCTATTGGGCTCACTGTTGTATACCTGTACAGTGTCTGGCACATAACAAGTACCTAGCAAATATCTGTTTAATTGCAGTCCACATACAGCCATTTAAGATTATTACAGGGTAGTTAGAAGTGGTTCAATGCTAGAAAAATAATCCAAAGTAATACAGGTGCATACTTGAGAAGTAATTTTAATAGAAAATTAGTTAGAAATCTTTCAGTCCTTAAAAAAGTCATAAAAGGACCTTAACTATACCACCAACAGGGACCCACTGTGAAAAGGTAAGACTAAATCAGAAAATTAATTGAAGTCCATCAACTGGTAGTTAAAGAGGAACACTAGGATCAAGTGAAAGTCACCAGCAATAAACTTAACAATATGAGAAGAGCTACAACTATACAAATGAAAACAAAGACATACATTCATCAAAACTTTAAAGCAGAAAGGCTTAAAACAAGCCAAGGGGTCCTAGATATTCCAACTTTCTGTTCACTTTTATCAATCACCTAGGAATAGAATTGCTTTTAATTGGTTAAACCTGTTTCACTTTTTCGTTTTGTTATTGTGTGCTATAGCAAGCCTTATGAAAGATGGAAAGATGAGGTTCAATCTCCTACAGAAGGAAGTCACGTGCACACAGCTACTATATAATACACACCTGGAACCCTGAAACCAGAACAAGAGCCTGATCTGATGCCCATTCTAGTCTTCCTTTCCACTTCTACATTTTTTTCTAGTTTGGTTATTTACTTACTCACCCTTCTATTTTCAAATTTTAAGTGCCAGACACTTGAATTCTAGAGTTCCTTTACCTTTCTTCTCTTAAGTAAAATAAAAAAAAAATTAAGGGGGTTAGTTTTTAGCATCTTCAATTTTATTAGATATAGTATGTGGCATGTTAAAAACAAGCTCTAGCCTCCACCAGTGTGGCTCAGTGGTTGAGCGTGGATCCAAGAACCAAGAGGTCACTGGCTCCATTTCCTGTCAGGGCACCCAGGTTTTGAGTTTCCAGTTCATTCCCCAGGAGAGGGCATGCAGGGAGGCGGCTGATGGATGATGTTTCTCTCTTGTTAATGTTTCTCTCTCTATCCATCTCCCTTCCTCTCTCTCTAAAAATCAGTAAAAATATATTTAATTTTTAAAAAGCTCTAATAAAATCCATGTACACCTTAAAAAGGTCTATGAAACATTTTAATGACATCTTAAATTCTCCATGGAACAAATGATGATGATGTAGGTCTGCTAAAAGTTATTTGTAGGATGAGCAACAGTTAACTGGTTTCAGCAAAATGCAGACAGTTAAGATTAAGATTCACAATGGGTCGCCCTCTTCCCAGCGATCTTAAAATGTTGTTCGATTCTTCTGGTCTCTACATTTTCTCCGTCCCAAAGTTGAAGTCTGACTTAAATGTCGTTGGTAAAGTAATTTGGTAATATTCTGATGTCGTTTCCTTCAGTTTTAACATTTGTAACGGAATCACAAGAATACATGTTTGGGAAAGGCAAAATAAGTACCTTTTACACACAAAAATTAAGCATGGGATTTAATAAGCTCAGTTGAATAACAATTCCGTTGGACACTTTAAAATACGGAGTATTATTTTTTCCCTTCTCCGTAACTCCTCTGTTGAGTTATTGACTCTAAAGACATTAAAATTTGAACACAGAGACGGAAACACCGAATGACTGGAGACCAAGACAAGAAAGTGAGGTGGAGCCAAGTGCTGATCTCAGCGTCCCCAAAACCTGCATCAGGAATCCGTGTGACACGACACAATTAACCGTGAGTGAGGACAAGCAACATCGAAATGTTCATTTGGAGACCCACCGGCATTCGGATCTCTGAGGCGGCGATGGTGTGAACGGCCCCGCAGCTAAAACAACAGCCCCAAATTTGCCCAAGACAGTGCTGAGAGGGCGGCGACAACTTTCAGGGGACTGAACCCCAAGGAGCCCAAATCATCGCACCCCAACGCCTTGGGCTGACAAGCGAGAATGCACTCCCGCGGATCCAGGAGGCCTCCGCCCTGCCACCCTAGGCCCAAGCTGCCCCTGCTCCCTCCCAGAGGGGCCGGGCCGG